TTGTAGCTCAAGTCCATTGCAGAAACTATTTTGTGATACTGAAATAAGGCTCTCTTTCAGGGATTGGTGAACTTTCTCTGAAAAGGGCTACGTAGTAAAATTTTAGGCCTTGTGGGTCATCAGTCTTAGTCACAACTCTACAAACTGCCACTGTGATTTGAACGCAGCCATAGAAAATATGTGAATGAATGGGCATGGCTGTGTTTCAATAAAATTTTATTTACAAAACTCATGTGGTGGCCTGGATTTGACCCTTAGGCTGTGGTTGGTGGACGGCTGCTCTGATCAGCAGTAAGAAGCTGCCTTGTTCTTATGTTACAAAACAAAAAGGGGGAAGAGGAGAGGTAGGAAGGAGGGGGAGGGAAGCACCTTACCAAAAATATTTAAAATTTGGTGCTTAGTTTAGTGGGAGGGGTTAATTGCTTAAGAGTGTTTTCCAAATGGGGACCATTCATCAGAAGCACCTGGGAAGCATTTAAGTTGTAGGTTTTGCACCTCCAGAGAATGCCATTCAGTAGGTCTAGGGATATTTTTATATTCTCTAGTGAGATCCTTTGATTTAAAAAGTCAAGTGGCAATATAAAATGCTGTAGAGAAAATGATAGGAAAATGGAATAATATAGGTTGACTCTCATAAAATGAAACACGTGGACCATTTGCTCTAAAATTCTGGAGGGTGCATTCCCAGCAGGCCTCTCCAGAAGCAGCAGAAGGGATGGGTGAAGAATTACAGAGGAGTGGCTGAGGTCGAGCCCCAGGGGCACCCGGTCCCTCATGCTTTCAGCCTTGAGTTCCCACAGAGCCAGGCCCGAGCCCTGGCTTTGCATGAGCCCTCTTGTGACCTTGGGCAAGAGCCTTTGGTTCTCTGGGCCGAGCTTTCCTCTTCTGGGACCCCTCCCCCAGCAGCACGGGCAGGATTCCATAAACACAGACATCTCACAGTGGCTTTGCAGAAATTCTAAACTTCGTCCCTCTCTTATGAAATTCAACTAAATACAAGTGTTTAAGAGTGAGAAAATCACTGACTATGGCATGTTAACAGCCCTTTGGCAGGATTTTTCATAGAATCACAAAAACAGGACTGAACTTCTGAAGGACATTTGGTTTAGATGATGGGGTTTCCGTTTATGAAGGAACTTGCAATATTCACTCAGGAGAACTTGTCATCTCGACTTTTCCAGACACTCCGCCGGCCTCTGGGCCACTTCACTGTGCCAGGCTGGTTACAGGGCCATGCCAGTTGTGTGTGAGGAGGGGCTGCAGCCTGGGCCGGGGTGAGCAGGGGAGTCGGGTAACGCTTGTGTGCGGGACCCCAAAAGGCGCAGCAGGTTTCTGCCCTTCAGAGGGTAACTTTTCTGTTTTTAACATAGCAGTCACATGACTGGAGCTGAATAAAGTGCTGTTTAAGATAGGGAGAGAGGAAGAGACGGGGCGTGAATCTGAGAGCTGGAAGGCTGTACACATGCATGACACACACTATAACCATTGTTTTTGTGCTGACGACAGAATTTCTGGAGAGGCCGTGTGCAGTGGTCCTGGGGCCTCAAGTCCACAGATGCTAAGAACTCTAGGACTTAGGCCTCTCAGCCTTGCCTCCTTCCCACTCCCCTACTTCATTTTTTACATTTATATATTATATGCCTTACCACTTCTTTATTATTACATACAGTTCCTAATCTCTTGCATTTAACCTTAACCACCATTTCCAAAAGTGCTGCATGAAGGATTAATGCTTCAGACCAACTCTGGTCTTTCTGTGAATTAGCAATAACCAATTTTCTGGGACTAATGTGAATTCTGCCCATGAAATTAAATAACCAAAATGAAAATGAATGTCTCTGTTCCGCAAAGAAAATGGAATTTAAGCTCCCTGCTGACCACAGTCAGCTCTCCTGTAATATAGCATATATGTTCCTAAAAATCCCTGCTCTATGCAAAATTACACAGTAAAAACCACAGAGCTCATGGGAATAATGAAATTGGGGGCACAACACCCAAAAGTGTCATTATTACTGATACACTGGTGAAAAAGGAGCTTATCAATACAAACAGTAGCACAGTTTTACATACCAAATGGTCAGGGAATACATAAATACTACAGTAAATGCGGCACATTATCTTGAAAAATACATGGAGGATGCCTGTGGTCCTATGTAGTGGGCATCAGAAGGGCTGTGGCTCCTGGGTTGTTGAATGTAAGGGAAGGAGAGTGATGTGAGGTCAGCAGGTCCTGGCCAGTGTGCCCCCCAGCGTGTTGAGCTCACCCTTTTCGTGTGAGGGTGTGCCTGGCATGTTCCTACCAGTGCAGTTAATTGGGGTGCAGTCTTCCATTTTCAGCTGATGTTCCATGAGAACCAGCGTGCACACAGCAGATGTGAAAAGTGCATGATGCTCAAATGATCCCCTGACATCTCTCCCATTAGAACAATTACACATTTTCAAAACAAGTGCTCCTCTAGTTAACTGTGTTTGCTCACCTGGCACAATGACAAGGGAACACTCTAAAAAGCCTTCTAGCTTTTTAGAAGCCACCAATGGCATTCCAGTAAAGTTTCAAAAAATGCTGAATGACCCACAGAACTATAGTTGGTATATTTAAAAAATAAAACTGTGTAACTTTAAAGGGTATTCACTGAAGAGATTTCTTTCTCTGTCCATCTTTCAGTAAGTCAATTTTGTCATGTGTATCATGTCACGTTTCTATTATTTACTAGTGAAATAGTTCACAGGTTGAAGGCAAAGCTCCTGTTTGTGAAAAGATTCAATTTTAGTTTTACTTCTTCAGGATCAGCTACAGACACTCTTAGTACTATTTAAATTTTGTTTGCAATAAAGAGACACACAGTTGAGAGAGAAGCACAAAGACTCCACCTTGTGAGTCATCAAAGTGCTTTATTTTGTAAAGCCCGGCTCATAACTGGAGTGTACTGTTAGCACTAAAAGATACAAGGCGAACTTCCTCACTCTGTCTGAAGATTTGATCAACAGGGTGGATGACAGAGACTGTTACAGACAAAAATAAAGCATTTTGTAAACTTCTAAAAGCATACACAGATGGGTCACAAAGGAAACAATTACTCAAATAATGTTTGGGTACCTTCTCTTTACTTCAGGGTCTCACATTTGTAATCCTGGATTAAAGAAACTACAGCCTAACTTCAGAGTACTGAAAGGGACTCAATGCCAGAATGAATGGCGGGGTGGGGGTGGGGGCATATTAAATCACTATTTCAATTAATTTAGACACATGAAATACAGATTTGGACAACCAGATCACAGTGCTGTCAATGTCTGCTGAGGATAAAAATTCTGAGTGAAGTCAGTAGATGTGGTAGAATGGCCTTGCTCCCCAGATTGCGGCTGCTGTCACCCCGTATTTTCTGAAGTAAACCTATATACCTTGGGCACAGTTGCAGACTTGATAAGCCCTGAAGTAAAGTTACTGGAAGAGGCAGTATGGCGGGACTGTTTGTTGAGTTGCAAGTAATTATTAAAGGGTGGATTTTTTTTTTCTTTCCTGAACCTGCCTACAAAAGTCATCTCACATTTTAAACAAAGAATTTCAAAGGCACAGCTTTAGCACAGTGTATAAGTTGATAACGTATTCCTAAGCAAGTCTAATATTTTAGCTTGACACCTTTCAGAAAATGCCAGGAAGTTGGTAAATATATGATCGATGTTGGAAATCTATAACTTGATTAGACACAGTCAGCACAGTTTAGGGCAATGAACTTACATAACCAGATCTGGGTTAAACATTTTCTTTAAAAATAAAAAAATCATTAGATTGATAAATGTACATCTGGAGGAAAACAACCCTTTTCCTTTTACTGTAAAAGACTGCCTACCTGGTACTTTGAATAAAACATTCACCCCAAAACGTGACTGTAGGATACATTTCAAAATATGACAAACATTATTTCACCTATACTGTAAAATGACTTTACATGTAAACTTCAAAAATCACGTGCTGTACATTAAATTTTTAGATTCAAAAATATCCCTGTTTTCCTAATAATGTAAACAGTAATATTGAGGATTTCAGTTAAAGGGCAAATTTATAACAAAATACCACTGTTCAACAGGAGGATTGAGAGTTCTAAATGCTTTGCTCACCTTCCCACCATGGGAGATGTAGATACCATTGCCCAAAACTATGCACTTTTCAGATAAGCTTTTATTTTTATTTTGTAGCATTAATTCCTGTATTGCAACGAAAGAGTGTTATCAGTGAAGAAGCTCCAGGCAAGAAAAGAGAAGTAAGCAGTTTTCCTGGACATATTTACTGAGGTGAAAATGTACAGAGAGAGTCACTAGGGGCATCAGCTTCCTGCTGGAGGAGGGGCGTTTGTCCCCGGACACGGGGAGTCCCGACACCCAGACCAGGAGGCATGGGAGATGCCAGCCTCCTTCGTCCAGCGCCCGGGTACAACTATTAAGGAGTGTCAGCGTGCGTGGCAGAAGTGTAACATCTGCAGTAAGTTTTTTTTTTCCTCTTAATCACCATCATTATTATTATCATCATTATTATTATCTTCATTATTATTACGAATACTGTCTCACATCTTTCAACTCCAGAAAATAAACTGATCCACAGTTTATCGTGTGGTGCCAACCTGGTTGGTCTGACATGCATTGCCTTCTCCCCCTCCCCCCCTCTTGTGCTCGCTCACTCACTCATTCATTCATTCATTCATTTGTCCACAGCTGGAATCAGAGGTTCGTTGCCCCAAACACACACTAACCAAAGCTGGTCAGCTTCCATTAATCAATCAATTTTTAAGATGCACACACGCACAGACACACACACGTCAGAAATAGCTAGAATGATGCTGGGAAATATCAGGTAGCTATTAAAGCGAGTAGCCCCCAAGTCAGTCATCTTGGCCTGAAGATGTAAACGAGGAGGTGTGCTTCACTGAGTTTGGTGTTCATTTTTCCTGCGCTGAAGCCACCTCTATCCTTCCCATGCTCACGTCCGTCCACAGTTGTGCAGGACGTTACGTCAAGATGTGGCCAATAAAGTCCAAAAAGCGCTTGGAATACTGTTCTGGGTTCACGGTGGAGATCTCTGCACCAGCCTGGGCAGTGTGGGAGAAGAGGAACAGTGATACTGTTAGAATTACTTGATCACACCTACAGCAACTTCCACTGCAGCTGAATATGAAGCCAGCCATTTTCAAACCTGTGCAGCCTCTCTCGTAACTCAGAATATCTTGGATACGGGTCTGAATAACCAAGACTCTTAAGAATCTGGGTGTGATGTAAATCCATGGCTGATTCATGTCAATGTATGGCAAAAACCACTACAATATTGTAAAGTAGTTAGCCTCCAACTAATAAAAATAAATGGAAAAAAAAAAGAATCTGGGTGTGAAAATGAGGCAGAGTCTCAGGAAAAACAGAGGCTGGTGTCATATACACTGTGACTGCTGCCACCAAAAAAAAAAAAAAAATTCAACCACGTTTAAGATGTTCCTGTCAAATGTGGCATCTGTGTGGCCTCCATTCAGAAGCCACGGGGACAACACTTCTGTTTCTCAGGAGAGCAGACGGGAGACACCTTGAGAATGACACAAATGGCAGCGGGGTTTCCTGTGACGAGCACAGTGCAGACCAGAGACCCTCGGAAGTTACTGGCCAGCTTTCAGAGCTGCGAAGGGCAGGACCAGAGTTTTTACCAAGTCACTGGGTGCTATTTTGATATACACAGCTCACGGGGAAGCTGTAATTTCCATGCCTGGCCTGGGCCGCTGGGATCTCCACAGAGGAGCCCTGGTATTTTTGAAGGCAGAGAACGGTTCCCAGCAGCAGGTGGACACAACGTTCCTTTGCAGAGAGTAATGTCTTGCTCTTGCAAACTGCACCCGATTTTAGGCTGGGTGCCGTATCATGGAGCTGAGCTGGTAACATACAGGGGAGGCTCAGGTGGAGCCGTGTCTACCCTGGCACATTTCCAGCTTCACCTGGTCTAGAATATCCTACAGGTTTGAGGAAGGGTGGGAACAAACAGAGCCTCTCCCCACTGACCACAAAACCTCATCAGCAAGGCGTTAGGGCCCTGTCAGCCGCTGGGGGAACTGGGGTGCCAGGGCGTCTCCTCCAGGTCACACGACTGGAGAGGTGAGGCAGGGACGCGGGCCCAGTCCCGTCCCCGCAGTATGGCCAGGCTCTTCAACCAGAGACGAGCATCGGAGCTACCGGAGCCTTTCAGAGACAACCTGCCCCACCAGCCTCCTGAACTGGACTTGGAATCTGGGCAAGGGGTGGTGCATCTGGCTGGCAGAGACTTTAAAATGGTTCTCAGAAGGCTGCGGTGCACGCCCTTGTGTGAGAACTGCTGTGTACCCTCCTCTCTGACAGAGGATTTCCAGTGTGTTCAGTGGGGAGGGTGAGGTCCTGGTCTGGGCACCGCACAAAGCTGGAAGACCGTAACTAGTTGGCAGTGTGACTGAAATATTTCTGTGGCAAATGGGATATGGTGTTGGGCTGGTTCCATTGCTGGAAGGACAGCCTGTTTGATTTTAAAATAAAGAAAAAGAGCCTTTCATAGATGTTGATGTTCTGGTGGATCTTGGTTGACTCCGCACTGGGGAAGTGTGATGGAGCCAGAGCACAAGTTCACCCCACGTGCTGGGCTTTGGGCCTTTTCAGCACACCTAGAAAGCCAAAATGAGGTCCTACAGTGCAGGCACAGTGGAGACTCACAACTGGTGAAGTCCAACCGGCAAAGTGGGCCTCACTGGTTTACTGGGGGTGGGGCTGGGTCCCGGGGAGCAGTCCTCTCTACCCTGCCTAGTGACCTGATCCTGGCAAGTTACTCCGTAAATGCTCAGCTCCTTCACCTGATAAGGAGCACACTGGTTATCCTTATCAAGGCTTGTCACAGGATTCCACAAGTTACCATATGCCGGAAACAGTGAGAATTCCGGGCAAGGACAATAAAAGCAAGGGACTCATATCACTAAACTTTGATCTTGCACTCAAAAACCTTCTGTAATAGGAAAAAATACAGTCCACTGTGCGGAAAGAGATAGTGTGTATCTTAGAAGCATCTTAAGCAGAGACTAAATGCTTCAGTTCTAAGCACTTCATATTAAAACTGCTGTCGTCATTCAGCACTTTTGTCTTTGAAGCATTTTTCAAACAAAAAAAGAATTTGTGTAATATTCTCATGATGCATGTGTCTGTCAATAACCCCAGTGGGTAACAGAAGAGCCGCGCAGGGGCTGTGAGTTGCCAGGGGCCTTGGGAGCTCTGACTCTGCGCTGGAGCGCAGCCCCTGCAGGGAACCTGAGCTATGGAAGGGACTGGGCAGCTCCTAGGAAAGGAGTGGACCTGTGCTGGCCCCTGCACCACAGGAAGCAGGGAGCAGAGAGGAAACCAGGCAGAGATACTTACGCCGTGTTTAACAGTTTTTGCAGCGTGGGCAGCTTTCTTTTTCGCATCATAATGAGTCAGAATGTCAATAATTGCCATAAAGTACACCTCCTTCCGAGGCGAATCTGTAAAGGGATGAGAGACACGATTGTGGGCCAGATGGTGATAACACCTGGGACAGTGTGAACTGCTGCGGGAGGAAGGGCTGAGGGAGTCAGGGTCTGAAAACAAAGGCAGTGGAGGCTGTTAGAAAGTCTTGTGCACCCCCAGGAAACAGCTTAACTTTCTGTTCCCAATTCTCTCTCAATTTAAAAAGTAAGAAAGAGAATATAACCCCAGGATATTACCAGCCGAGGTCCAAGGGTGAGACTGTATGTTTTTTATTAATCTGCATTTTCTTTAGTGATTGTATATACTTTGGTATAAAGAAAAATGTTTTTTAAAGAAATACTGTTTAAAACAAGAATTGTCTTGGCCAAAAAATTCATTCCGGTTTTTCCGTGAGATGCTATGGAAAAATCTGAACTAACTTTTTGGCCAACCCAATAGAAGTAATTATGCTTACACTTTCTACTGTTACCTGTAACTGTTCCTAATGCTCATTGGCTCTAGTATCAGAACTGGATAAAGGCATACATTATCTACAATACCCGTCTTCTACATATTTCCACAAATAAGCTGCTGTTTCAATTATGAACTACTGTTCAAGTATACTTGACTCTAATTTCCTGTGTTGAAGAAACCATTTTGGTGAGCAAAATAAAAAGCAGAACTCAAACTCAACCTGGCTGCTATGCCATGAGATTTTTTTTTTAAAAACGATGAACCACTGAGTCATTTTTATTATTAAAAAAACCCCAGAGGCCTGCATTTATCTCAAATTTTTTCATGTATAAGTAGCTAACATTGCATGTAATATTCCTATAAATATCCAATCACCCAGATTTTGAGGATTAAAATCAATCTCACTTTTGTGAAGAGAGCCACAGACCCCTTAATGGGGGAAGAGCCGAGGACAGATACGCAGCAGCAAATCGGAGATGCTCTTCCCACACCTGGGCTAGCCTCAGCTTCCTTTCCCAAGAAGGAAGGATACTTGCCCTACCCGATGTCCACAGGAGGTCTGGCGTGGACCATGTGTGTGGCTAGTTCAGGACAGACTTGTGACTTGAGATCCACATAAAAGAGATGGCTAATAAAAAAGTATTTAAAAATATTTCTTATATATGGTATGGACATTTACACAAGCATATGCATATGGGTGTTGTATATACACAGCACACTGCTGTGTGGTTTCACCTGTTCCCTTCAACATCCCACAGTTCAAGGATTTCATCACATTACATTTCAAAACCAGAGATTACAGTTACCTTTAATATACTCTGTCCTGAAATCAACTGATTAGGACTCTTGAGAAGGAGTCTTACAGGACAGCATGCTTTTACCTGGGTTGATGATTACCAGTAGATTAACAATGAAAAAAAAAAAATCAAACCAATGGTTAAAAAAAAAAAAAGTGGATGGTGTCTGCACTTACTTTCATGGCATTTAATTCCATAGACATCAATGTTTGGATCAAACTCGCCTGGAGCCAGGGGCGGCGAGCTGTTGAGCGTGTTCCCGGGGCTGTCGGGAGGGGTCCCCACAGGGTGGGCGCCGTCGCTTTCCCCCTCCTCCTCCCCATCCTCCTCACACTCCACCTCCTCCTGCTCAGCTCTCTCCACGTCGTGGATTCCCACCAGCAGGCTGTAGTCCATGAGCTTCAACTGGGCAAGAAACTGGAGGGGAGGAAGTGACACGATCGTTTATGCCTTAAGCACAGCCCCAGATTTAAAGAGAGCAAGCTCACAGAAGTGCAAGGAGAAGGCTGGGAGCCCTGGAGCGGCAGAGGCGAGAAGAGGACTTCGTGCAAGAGGGCCAGGAGCCTCTCGTACGGGGCAGCCTCCTCCCAGGCAGCTTCTCGGGCGGAGCTGCAGCCTCCCACTCGGGGCTGGCTCAGAGCCAGGACCGCTTCCCTGAACTGCCAGGCTGGAAGCTGAGAGGGATGCGTGCATCACATTGATGAGGACTGCACCAAAGTGCAGAGAGCATGACTGGCAAGGAGGACACACAGGGAAGAAAAGGTTTCTCCCAGCAATTAAGACTGGCTAATGGTGAACCCAGGGACCTCCCACGTCGCTGCCAGGGGAGCCTCTCAGATCTGGCTTGTGAAAGCACTTTGAAATGCAGCATACTCAGTGAAGCTGAGTATTATGCTGTCCATCACGAATAAGCAAAGGCACCAATGTCCCAATCAACCAGCAAATGCCTCTGTCACTGCTCTGGTGAACAACACCCTCCTTCAGTCCTGCTCGGGGGTGTCCTGATCGGAGCGGGAGCTGGGGAGGCTCCTCCATCACCCCCTCCCATGCCCTTTTATCCAGGAGCTCTCTCTGGCCTGTTCCCCTCACCCCCTGTGCCCACGCTGGATGCCCTCCAGAAGTGTGGGCACAGCTGGAGATGTTGCCAGGTGGCAACATCTCCCACCCATGTGTGTGTAGTGGGTGCAGGGTGGGTGGGGCTTGGCGGGGCCTGGTCCTGCTCAGCTTGTAGGGTGACGAGGTACAAGCCCCTTTCTCCCCTTCCCTGCTTCCTCTGGCCCTTGGAAGTTCCCTGAGAAGTGGCAAGGACTGCATGTTGTCGGGACTTCCCCTTCTGGTCCTCTGGAGAGGGGAGCATTTGATCTTGTCATGCCTTTCGATGGGGTCTCATTTCTCAAAGGGTAGAAACAAAATCTCGCGTGGTCCGTGGCACCTAGATGGTTTGGTGTCATCACCCCTCAGGCCATCTTGCATCCTGTTGTGGCCTCTGACCAGCTCACTGTGCCCCTTGACCTCCCACGAGACTCAGGTCTCAGCTGCAGGGCCCTTGCTCTCGGAAGCCTGTCGCAATTCCTGCCTGGGCATGTGTGCCCTGCACACTTTCCCCTGAGGACACCTGGCTTAGCTGCACGCTTGAATTCCATGAACAGAGGAGTCTGGAGGGCTACAGTCCTTGGGGTCCAGAATTGGACAACACTGAGTGACTAACACTTTCACTTTTTTTTCTTTCGTTTTATTAAATTATTTGAGAAACTTCTCTATCTTCCCCAAACACTGCACACCCTCCAGACGCAGGGGCTGTGGCAGTTTTTGCCCTTGAAACTGCATTATGATTAGTCAGATTATGATTAGTCACCTGCCTTCACTAATCAAGGTCGTTTAAGACTCGCAGGTCCTCCAAGGGACATGTAGCCTGAACAATGTTGTCTGGCTGGTTCTTTTTTAGGAACTAGGACTCAGCTCTGTCGTGTTCGAGCTGAGCGGGTTAAGGCTGGATAGACCCGCCGACCCTCCAGCTGGGCATGCGTGAGGGTCCTCTCACACGTGCGAGGATGGCCAGCTCCACCCTTGGATCGTGCAGAGGTCAGTAGCCTGGTTTACGCCTGCGCCGAACGAGGATTCCCGCACCTTTTCCCAATCTTTGCCCACGCTCCACGCCTCAGACCGCCCAGCCGCTCCGCCGGTAAACACCTCCTCAAGCGAGCCCCTGGCCTGGGGACGCCGACTGGAGATTTGTTCTTCCTGCTTGGCTGCCCTGCGAATAAACCCTCTGCTGCAGACCTCGGCATCTCGGCGTCTGGCTGGCTCCATGTTGGGCACAAACCTGGCTCGGTGACGCCATCGCTGCCCTCCTGACTCCCAGGTAAGTGATGTAGCTACTCGATATTTACTGAACAAGTGAATGGGCTGCCTGCTGCTACTTCCCCTGTCCCCCTTTCCTCTAACTTCCTCTGACCCCTTCCTCTAAGAGAAACAACCCCCTAAACCAAATAAAAAGAATAAAGCAACAACAAAAAACCTTCCTATGAGACTGCAAGAGGCAGCACCCATTGGAAGCAAAATGAGGTCATTTACAACATATCTTTGCTCTGCAGAGTAGAGTCTCTCTGTACCTATAGGTCCGTTTGACTTCCAGATGCATGAGGTACAAATCCACTTTCAAGTATTTTGGGGAGTACAAAAGGGGCTGCCTGTAATTAGCGTGCCAAAGGTCAGGCAGCGGAAGGGTAACAGCCTGGGCTGTACTGCCTCACGAAGTAGAGTGAGTCTGCAGGCCCACATCTTCCCCTGGCACCTGTGCCACTCACAACGTCAGCTCTGCCCAGAGCTTCTTTCCTGGGTCTCTCTGATCTGTGGTCTGCCCACTGCTTGGTCATTTGTATTCAATAATAAAAGTGAAGTTAGGCTCCGGCATCACCCACTAAACTATCAGTGAGATGAAACTGGTAAGTTGTTCTGACATACCCAAGACTAAGGAGGTGAGTTGCAGCCCCAAGTGGGGATTATATAAGAAACGGGGATTATGTAAGTCTTCAAATCTGTGTCTGAGACAAATGGAGAAGACCAAGGACAGCCAGAAGGGTTAAACATATAGCTTTTGCCGATCAGGGTGACCCACTGAAGCATCAGATCATCTTAAATAAAACGTAAGTTTTGGAGCCAGATGGGCAATTCAATCTTAGGTTACTTGCTCCATCTTTTATGGAATTTTTTTTTTAATGGAGCATCACTGCTTTACAATGTTAGTTTCTGCTGTATAACATCATGAATCAGCCATATGTATACATGTATCTCCTCCCTCTGGAGCCTCCCTCCCTCTCACCGCCCCCACCCCCCCATGCCACCGGCCTGAGCTCCCTGCGCTCTCCAGCGGCTTCCCACTAGCTGTCTGTCTCACACATGGTAGTGTATGTATGTCAGCGCTGCGCTCTCAATTCCTCCCACCCTCTCTGTTCCCATCTGTGTCCACAAGTCTGTTCTCTACATCCTCACCTCTACTCCATGAAAAATGGTGTTGATGAACCTATTTGCTCTGTGTCTTGATGATGAATTCACTACTCTGAACCTCAGTTATTCTAATTATAAAATGGGACAGCCCCACCAAACTCACAGTGGCGGAGAAAGGATTAGAGAGAATGTAGTGGGGGCAATCAAAAGTGCCTTGCATGTAACAGTGGAAGTGGTTTTTATAACTGTCCCTGTTGTTACTGTGGCAAAAGCCTTTTTTCCATCAAGTATGTAACTTAAACATACAGGTTCAGGTGACATGAGCCAAGAGGGGCTCGTGTGTTGAACAGCCTGCATTGATGCCCCAGCTCTTATCACAAAACATCATTTAAAATCTCTTCTAAAGTAGAGGGAAACACCATATGCAGTAGACCTGATATTCTTGTTGGAGAAAGTCACTGTAGGGCATCTTGAAACTACTGTGGGCTAAAGATGACAGGCCCCAAGAAGAAGAGGGATTCAGGGCTGCCTGGAGGGTCTACCTCCAGCTAATATTTGGAACTTAAACACATTTGCTGTTTGCTGCTCATCCCTTTAAGCTTCTAACTCAAATTAGTGATTTTTAAGTATATAAAATTTCAAACCATGAAGATTTAAAAACTTTTGTAATCTTTAGGTTCCCCTGCTTGCCAGCTTCTTAATAACTGTTTGCCAGACCTTAATCAGCTTCTTTGTCCCTCAGAATATCCCACTTAACCTGCTTCCCTCATAATTCATTCCTTATTATGCCAAATCTGAGCTAGTATTCCCTATATGAGCCCTGTTACAAGCAAACACTTATTGAAAACTGTATGACTAAAGAGCTGTTAGTAAACTCTTGCTGTATGTCTTTGGAGAAGTGTCTATTTAGATCTTCTGCCCGTTTTTCGATTGGGTTGTTTGTTTTTTTGCTGTTGTATGAACTGATTGTATATTTTGGAAATTAAGCCCTTGTTGTTTGCATCATTTCCAAATAATGTCTCTCATTCTGTATGCTGTCTTTTCATTTTGTTTATGGTTTCCTTGGCTTTGCAAAAGCTTGTAGGTTTGATTAGGTCTCATTTGTTTTTTTATTTCTATTGCCTTGGGAGGCTAACTAAGAAAACATTGGTACTATTTATGTCAGAGAATGTTTTGCCTATGATCTCTTCTAAAGAGTTTTATGGTCCTATCTTTAAGTTGTTAAGCCACTTTGAGTTTATTTTTATGCATGGTGTGATGCTGTGATCTAACTTCAGTGATTTACATGCGGCTGTCCAACTTTCCCAGCACCAATTGCTGAACAGATGATCTTTCTCCCATTTTATATTCTTGTCTCCTTTGACCGTAGGTGTGTTGGTTTTTCCCCCTGGGCTCTCTGTTCTATTCCATTGATTCATATGTCTGTTTTTGGCCAGTAATACACTGTTTGGATTACTGTAGCTTTGGATTCAATGGACATGAACTTGGGCAAACTCCGGGAGATGGTGAGGAACAGGGAAGCCTGAGATTCTGCTCTCCATGGGGTCGTGAAGAGTTGGACACGACTTGGTGACTGAACAACAACAAGCTTTGTAGTATTGTGCATTTTCCTCAGGATTGCTTTGGCAATTCTGAATCGTTAAAGGTTCCATATAGATTTTAGAGGATTATTTGTTTTAGTTCTGTGGAAAATGTCATGGGTGATTTGATAGCTGCTCCCTCCCCTCCACCCCACACCCCCCAAAAAATGTGAGGCATGAGATGGCCTGTGATGGGGTGGATGCCATGGGACACAAAGCGTAGTCTCTCGTGTGAAGTTTGGATCCCAGTGTGAGCCAATGAGAGATGAGGACCAGCCCTCCACGGTCACGGTCAAAGCTGACAAGAAGAGAGTCTGAGGGCAAAAGTGACCTTCCATTCTCCATCAAGTGCTTTCTTTGGGAAAAAGGGCTCACATATGCTCATGTGTAAAGCTATTAGAACTAACAACGTACTTTGCTACTTTGCCCGGCATATAAATAGAACAGAATTTCAAATGCAGAGAAAAGCTGGCTAGGTTCTTATTTTCTTACAGAAATATTTGAGTTGTAATGAATTCATTTTTTACTTAAAGCATTAAGTTACCACCCCGCCCCCCCAACCCCATCCTGGCCAGCCGGCTAAATTAGCAAGCATGGAACTGATGGAAAACGAAACTAGATTACATTCTATCAGATGTCAAGCTACTTTACCATAAGTACCTGCTTAAAAAATTAATAATGCTTCTGCATGATTTTCAAAACTAGACACTTACCAACCATTGAGAATTTTTTTAAAATGAAAGAATGCTTTATGCCCTGCCTCCATTTAAACAAAACAGCTAAGTGGGAGAGCCATGGATGGGATTAAAAGTAACCAAATCTTCTAATCAATGACACTATTAGAGACAATGAAAAGGCAAAGAGAATCCTTGTGTAATTCAACTGTAAATTTGAATGGCTTCAGTTACATTATTTCTGGAGTCTAAAAATCAGAGTGATATACAGCTGAGAGGGGAAAAAAGATAAAAAACATTTTTGCAAGCAGATGAGATATCCCTAAGGGCTATTTACTATAACTGCTAAAACTGTATTACTTCTCAGGATCAAAGCCTTTCAGGATAATGAATAAAACTCCCAAATAGTATGTCTGCCTATGGCACTTAGTTATCAGATAAAGTTGACCCCAAAGTAAAAGGGAAATACTTAACTAATATGCATTTTAATAAAAACTGCTGACAACTGAGGAAAAATAAATGCTGAATAATGAGAAACTGGAGAAAAACTATTTTTTAACAAGACACTGGGTCCTCTTTACAAATAACCAATATCTAGGTTCTAACCAAAGCATATATGTGATGTAGGTTAAAATGCAAAAAAAATTTCTTAAAGTAACTTATAACCTAAAAATAATCATCGACTAATTTGGTCAGTCTATGTGTCTTTAAATTAAAGATGTTAGGAGATTAAAAAGAAAATTATAATGCTGCTTCTGCCCTCATGGGGGATATAATCTAATCCATGACATTTGTTTGTTCTTGGCTTAAGTCATGTTTTGTTTTAATTTTTTTTTTGCTTGCATGGTGCACTGCTTGCCAGGCCTTAGTTCCCTGACCAGTGATTGAACCCGGGCCCTGGTGGTGAAGGTGCTGAGGTCTAACCACTGGACAGCTAGGGAATTCCCAAGTCATTTTGTCTTTAATGACACAAGAAAGAATCTTTTCACAAAACCTTTCTAAGTAGCAGATCTGTACTGGTATGTGGGGAACTGTATTTCCAAGTTAAAACAAAAACAAAAAATGCACATATGAACAAAAGTAACAGCTAAGAATACTGTAGCTTAGTAACTGTCTAAATTAGAACTCTCTTTGCACTGTTTTGTAACCTAACAAACTTCAAAAAAAGAACTCTTTTTCCTGAATTTATTTCTAGTAGATTTATATAAGGAAGTTCATTGGGAGAACTGCACTGCCTTTACAATAAATAAAAGATAGGGAAAGGTGTATTTTTAATACTTAAAACAATATTTACAAAGAGAACTCCTTTATAGACTAAAAGGCCATTTCCACATAGTATTTTATTTCTCACAACATCCCCCTTGACCCTGGTGTCCTAAACTGCCCGTGCTGTTCCCATACTGTGCAAGGCTGACTTTACGTGCCCAGTGTTACTGACTTCATAGAGGCTGGTGGCAGTATTATTGAGGCTGGTATTTTCTAACACCCAGATGTGGTTCAGATGGGGAAAACCCCAAATTCAAATAGTTACCATACACTTGTCAACATGATCTGGTCTTTGACAAAATACAGTCAGTCCCCTCCACCCGGGCCCCGGTTGCTGGGGGCGGGGAAAGGCAGTGGGTCTGAAGGGGCTGTAACCCCGCACAGGCTACCCCCACAACAAAGAAGATGGGAGCCTGGGGGAGGGGACACCAGCAGAAGACACCATGTGCCTGCTTGCGTTTGTCCTCTGAAGGAGGGAGCTGCTGAATCGGCATACTTCTCTTTTAAATCAGCTCACATATAAGCTATACCTGTTTATATCTGCTTTGGCTAATGCACAATATATATTTTTGTCTTGGTTTCAGATACAAATAGATGGTTTTAAAAGCTTCTAAAAACCCAGTAGTGTTGCCATTTGTACAAGGGGCCATCCCTTATATTGGTGTGTTTTTTTTCTTCCTTACCTCTACATCCTTCTTCAGCTTTTCCAGGAATACCTTTTTGTTGTTGTCATCAATATAAATCTTTTGACCCTCATTAATGAAATCATTATCCTTTAGAGTTGGCAGTTCTTTGGCCTAAAAAAAAAAAGAGAGAAAAAGAATAAGGAAGGAGCTTGACTGAAATTTAAAGGACTCCCATGCTCTCCAATCCTGGAGGTTAAGTTTCCACCCCGAGGCTGAGTTGCCCTGCTCCCTGAGGGGCCTTACCCAAGGCAACAACGTGTGAGGTGGCTTGCGTGCCGCAAGGGGGCGCCAGTGAGCTATGGCCACTGGAAGCATTGCCACTAGGAATGGAGGGTCAGACATACTCCATATTATGACGCTTTTGTAACAGATTTCACAGTTTCCTTAGAATGAACCTGACGGCTTTCTTAGATTCACAAGAAGTCTTCTAAGTACAGAATTAGTATTCTTGAAATTCTTTGTCAGGAACCCTCAATTTTCTTACTGGTTCAACCCAACTCCTAACCCACCCCCTTCCCCAACACACACTCTTGGGGTAGCCTTTGCTGGGTTCATGTTACAGATAAAATGTTATCTTGCTCAGAAAAGCACCATCCACAATCATGTATAAATCTAAGCTGGGGAGAATATGCAGCCAGAGGTTAGCCATCTGCCCTTCTAAACCTTCCAGCACACCACTCCAAGAAGGAAATCCTCTTTTCATTTGTATAATATTGAAGAAAAATGTCTTCTGGCATAAAGCATATTAAGATGAGATGTCTACCCTTTAAAAATAAATAGGATGGTAGTGAACTGGCAACTAAATTATACTTATGCTGACCAACACAGAGAATGCATGATTATCAAAACATGGGTCGCAAGCAAAAAAAACAAAAAAACCTAGCTTTAAAGTAGTGTGTATTATTCACCTTTGCGCAACCTGCATTCTGGGAGGGTTCAAAACCCTTCCTCCCTCCTTTTGACTGACCTTGTAAAAAAACAACCACTCCTCTTATTCTTCCAGTTGAAAGGAATTGAACATAATACCTTGCCTTAGTATACTAATGAATGCCTCCTTTCCCTAAGTGTGAACCAAATGGGGGGAAAAACCCAAGGAAAGAAAATAGTCTCCATCCTGATCTCCACACTGCCTCCCCTCATTCAGAGGTATAAAAACTCACTGGGTACATACCTCTACTGAAAAACAAAGTGAGAGAGTTAGTTGCTCAGTCGAGCTGCCAGGCTTCTCTGTCCACGGAATAATTCTCCAGGCAAGAATACTGGAGTGGGTTGCCTTTCCCTTCTCCGGGGGATCTTCCCAACCTAGGGTCAAACCAGGATCTCCTACATTGCAGGCAGATTCTTGACCATCTGAGCCACCAGGGAAAGCTGAACCACCTTCCAAATCTCTGAACTTCTCACTTTTTCTTCCCATTTTGTAAGGTATACACATGTGTGTAAACTACTCATGTCTATCGGTAGACACACACGCATGTGTATTATGCAGTTTTAAATCGGTAGCTTTGCTACTGATTTTAACTTTGAGAATATCTGCAGTTTTGTGAGTTTTGATTTTGATATAACTACTGCCAAATTGATTATCTTTGCAAAGCTCAGAAATCCAAAGATTCCATTCAATAAGTGGTTGCTGAATGTCTGCCATGTACAGGAGTGTAAAAATGAATAGGTGAACACTTCTGTTCTTAAAGGAGTCTGTAATTTTGTATGAGAGACACTGAGAGCAAGAGAACACGGCAGTGTGTGAGGCACACAGATACATAATGCGGCTCCTGAGGACTGATCTACTTTCAAACACTTTTTTGCTGAGTCAGTTTAAAGAAATGAAATATCCTTCATCACAAAGACTCACCAGGGTCCAGATGGATTAACTGCCTAAGTTGGTCATTCATCATTTAAAAATGTGAAAGAAAAACTCTCAATGTGAAGATTATTAAATGTTTGAGTCAATTACATAGACCCTAAGTTATTTTCTTGGAACTGAAACAGTGAAATTGCACAGTGAATGACATGTGAAGATCTGAAGTTTTAACAAACTCAGAGGCCTGTGAGAAGCTAAGCATCAGGAAAGGTATAAAACTGGAGTGCTTCAGAAAGTGCTGAAGCCAGATCTACATACAAACATAGGAGATGCAGAAGGATCACGATTCCCTAAATAGACAACATGAGCAATATTTGTCTACATTGAGGGGATGGCTGTGTGTGTGTGTTCGGGGGGGATTAAGGATTCAGATCTGCCTAAACTCCACAACTCATTTTATGAGTGTAAGCAAAGAACAGGAGAGGGATTCTTGTTTGTGAGCGAGAAACCTGAAGGCAGGGCTGACAGGCTACAGACAAGGCAGTAAACGACATACAATCTGTGCTGGGGGTACCAGTCACACTCATGGAGATGAATGAATGCCACTTTAGGGTCACGCCAGCAGAATTACCTACTGTGACAGGGAGAATATAATCCTACCTCATAAAACTCCGGACACACTGTACTATATTACTAGGCTTACTTGTGAAATTTCCAGGCACTAGGGATGTATTTAGATTGGATCAAGTTCAAGAGGGCAACCAGATTGGTTAAGAGACTTAAGGGCTTACTGAAAGGCTCAGGAGGTATAGGTGGATCCTTAGGGCAGTGGTTAGAGGAACCCAATGCTGATCCACAGATGCCCCCCCCCCCCCCCCGCGCCCATGTCAGCAGGATGGCAGAGTGCTTAGGAGCACCAGGGTTTAGAAACATGAATTCTGAGGTTCCGAGCCTTAATCCTCCCCCTTACTAGCCAGGGGCCAGTTCCTGGACCTCTCCAGGCCATCTGGTTACATGCAGAAGGGGAGACCCTGCTGAGCCCTTGATGTGCATCCATTTATTTAAGTGCATCATCTCATTTACTCTTCAAAACCACCCCAATTCTCACCATCCTCATTTTACAGATAGAGGAACTGACTTAAGTGAGATAACTCAGCTAAGGTCTCCCAGCTTGTTAAGTGGAGCTGGTAAGCCAGTTCCCAAGCTGAGATGGGAACCTGGGCTGCCTGACTCTTAGCAGAATTCTGTGTGTGCATGCTAAGTCATTTCAGTCATGTCCAACTCTGTGTGACCCTACGGACTGTAACCTACCAGGCCCCTCTGCCCATGGGATTCTCCAGGCAAGAGTACCAGAGAGGGTTGCCATGTCCTCCTCAGCACAACTCCATGTGTAGCAGAATGACTGAGATTTTGGCCAAAACTTGTGTGACGTTTAAATAGTGAGGTGAGTGGCACTTATCATCATTGTCATTGCTGGGAGCATTCAGTAACAGGTATGGATTTAAAACTGTATTATAGGTTGAGAGAAAATATTTTCTTTAAAAATAGAGCTTCACTGTTTTCTACTAACAGCTGAATGACAAAACTGAAGTCACCTGACAACAAGACACCCTCAAGAAAACCCTGGTGCTTGACTTATAAATTTCAATATATCCTTCTAATAATGAGCAGCATTTATATTAAAGATGCACCTTTTTTTTTTTTAACGTGAGGGAAACTATTTTGCTGTGAATTAATGAATATCATAAATTCTTGGTGTTAACACTGCCCACAAAGGTGATGTCCACAGAGAAGCACATAAATAACTGTGGGCAGCAACCGATCCCACCCCTTGCTTTGCAGCACCAGATTATTTGCACTTAGGTGAGCTTTGAAAGCATTGAAGTCTCTGGGTCTGGCTCTTTAATGGGCATCTTTCATAGCCTTTCTAACTCAGTGCAGAACTAGCTAGAGGGTGGAGGAAATCACTAGGGCTAAAGCCATCAGCTCAGAAACACTTGTGAACTGTGGACTCGGAGGCTGGCTCCCAGCTAGCGGTCAGTCACCTTTTTTGGAGTGGTTGTAGGTTAAGTCTTCATTTATTAGCTCTGCATTAAAATTCTCCCAGCTAGTGTTGTGTAGACTGGGAGCCTCCAGTACCTCACATGGTGCTTAAAAGCGGGAGTGCCAAGGAGGACAAGGTGTCCTGCTCTTCCTACACTGCCCTCCCTGGCCAGGGGAGTGAGGTGTGTAAAACCAAGGCCAGCACAGCTCACATCTATATCCCTTTGCAGGAAGTGACTGTACTGGGGTGGGCGGGACTCAAAACGGCATTCATCTCTACTGATGTGAAGTGTAAATGAACAAACACAGCTAAAGGCATAAGCAGAGCAACACGGGTCTCCCGGTAAGCGAGCTATCCTGCTTTCATTGTGTGGATGAAATTGGCACAGTGAATATTCCTGGTACTTTCCTGGCAGGTGATCGCCTACAGCTAGAGTCAGTATGGCGCAGGTTTCTACTTGGGACACAGATTGAAGCATGCGCTTTTGAGCATAGGTTGAAACCGTGCCACCTGGGTTTTATCTTGGCTCCTCCAGTTATTAGCTGTGTGACTTGAGCGAGTTACTTAACCTTCTCTGTGGCTTGGCTTCCTCATCTTTAAATGGGGATTAGAAGACAACACTTTTGTGAGTATTACACTCATTTGTACTGTTAAAAAGCTTAGGGCTCTGATTGCCACATGGAGAGTTACATATAAATGTTCTTATTTGCTGGTCATGTTCTCAAGTATGGGGTGTGAATCTAGAGAAAAGTTCATCACCGATAAATCCAGAGCAAGATTTAAAATAAAAAGTTGGCATATTTAACACTTTTATAACAGCTGGGGTGTTTAGACCCAGCTGCTCAATCCGTCCAAGCTTCAGTTTCCTCATCTATATAATGGAATATTAATAACACTTATCCAGTAGGATAATGAAAAGACAGAAAATGAATGAAAAGACAGGAAACACACAGTGCTTGGCAGTGAGAACTAGGTATTCGTTTGCATCTTAGTTGCCCATCAGTTTTGACCATGACCAATGTTGTTACAAAGTGTTTCCTGCTAATGAAGAATATAGACTTATCCATCTCTTCTATCCTTCCTGATTTTCTAGAATAGGCTCTTTAAATTTGGGATATCAGTAATCTAAGCCATGTTGAAATCTTCCTGTATTTTCAGGTTTTCTCGTTAGGCACAAACACCTCCTGTAATGTTCTCAAGGCTGTTTCACTTCACTGTGTCACACACGGCACATTAGAGGCTGGGTATGCCCCTGCCCTGGCTGCCCTC